GGCCTTTCAAGAGGTGATAAAGCTAAAATGAAGCCACTAAGGCAGGCCTGCATCCAGTCTGACTGGTGTCCTTAGCAGAGGAAATCTGGACACAGAGACAGCAGGGGCGCATGTGTGCACGGAAACGACCGTGTGAATAGACAGCCAGACGGTGACTATCTGGAGGCCATGGAGAGCGATCTCAGAGGACACGAACCCTGCCAGCACCTTGATCTTGGACTTTCCAGCCTCCACAATGGTGAGAAAATACCTCTCTGCTGTGTAAGCCCCCGTCCATGGTGTTTTGTTACAGCGGTTCTACCAAACTAATACAAGACCCAAGGCCCTCTACACTGAGCATGTGTTTCCCCTCCCAGGGGGGAAAATAAGGAAACCACCAACTGTGACTGTTAACTCTTGTTCCCAGGGAAGTCAGGGCACTTTCCGTGTGTCCCTTTATCAGAAAACTACAGCCCAGTAGGGCCACAGCTCCTTCCTGCAAGGTTCCTACAGGAAAACCTCTGCCCTCCAGTGCAGCAGCGACCAGCCATTAAATATGTACTTCATAAATGTGGGATGCCAGCATCATTACATGGTCATCAGGGGCCTATGGGGCCACTCCTCTGCCCCATGTCTCAGAAGCACGCAGTCCCCCCAGGAGTGGAGGGTTCAGATCTGCTTGGATACATGGGAACACAAGTCCTGCCCCAAGCAGAGGGCAGGACCAGTGCCAGAGCTCAGGGTTGAGATCTGTGGGCCCAGCAGAGGGCAAAGGGCTTCCGCAGAACCTGTCTCCCGATGCATTCTTCCCTCCGTGTGGCAGAGGCACGGAGGAACAGGCCTGGCCGAGACGAGTGGGTTTGAAACACTCCATGTGTCCTCGCGGTTACCTCTCCCAGCCAGGCTTCCTGTCCGAAATCGCCTACTCTAATAAGCAAACTAATTCATACTTAGGAATAACAAAATAGTTTCCCTTTATCGTGCAATCACAATTCCCAAGGACAAAAGCATATTTGTAAAAAAAAAAAAAATCAGACATAAATATTAAATGAAACAATGCATTGTCTGCAAGTCTCATTCTTCAACCATCTTTTCCCTGATCCTACAATAGTTTTATCTGCTTAAGGAAATGGCTCTTATTGTCAGTAAATGTGAATACCAAATAATTATGATATAACTACATTATTTCATCTTAACAACTGCCTTTTGAGGTCTTCAAGTTCCTTTTTTTAGGAAACATCACATGCACAGATTCACTCTTATAACACCGATGTATTTCCTACATCGACAGGATAGTCGGTGCTCATTCGGGACTGTTTCTCCTGGCCCACCGCTGGCTCCCTCACCTGGAACTCCAGTCCTGATGCTCCCTAGGCTGGGGAACGGGGACTCCGGGCCTATGGAGCACAGTGTGGGCCCTGCAGGGCTGGAAAACCCTCTCACAGCGAACCAGGGGACTTCCCTGGTGGCGCAGGGGACAGGAATCTGCCTGCCAGTGCAGGGGACAACGGCTTTGATCTCCGGTCTGGGAGGATCCCACGTGCTGCGGAGCATCTAAGCCCGTGCTCCTCAGCGGCTGAGCCTGTACCGGGGAGCCAGTGCTTCACGAGTGAAACCGCCGCCCTGAGAAGCCCGTGCGCCGCCACTAGAGGGCAGCCCCCGCCCCCCGCACCTGGAGAAAAAGCCCCGGTGGTGACAGAGCCCCAAATAAATACAAGCGAACCCGGCGGGGCTGTTCTTCCCCCCGCCCCGCTTCTCCGCCGCGTCCCCGCGGTGTGGTTGGGTGCTCGTCGGCTGGGGAAGGACAAGCCTCAGGTGGCTGCCCCCCTGGCCCCCCGCTCGGGCCCCTCGTCACCTTCCCAGCGGCCCCCGAGGCCCGCACCTCTCATGAGGATGTCCTCGGTCAGCGGGAGGCCGTGCGCCTCGCAGACCTTCCAGCACTGCAGGTAGACCAGGAAGGTGTCCACGCGGGACCTGTTGAGGATGCCCTCCATCTCCCCGTGGACGGTGGTCGGCAGGCAGTGCTCGTCGAAGTGCTTGTCCCCGCTGCGCACCAGGCGGCACTGCTCCGTGTAGTGGATGGAGGGGAGGGCCAGCTGTGGGGAGAGCGGAGGCGGGCACTCACCCCTCCTCGCCTCCCTCCGGGCCCAAGGCAGACGCGGAGCCTCAGCCGCCTCTGCCCCCAGGCCCCGTGAGTGCAGGTGTTGACGCCAGCCACTCGGAGGAAAAATCACCCGTGGTCACGGTGACCCCTGAATAACGTGTGAATGGTCCCGGCACAAGGTTCTGTGGGCACGGCTCCTTACACAGAAGCGCACACGCGACCATAGACACGCACAGAAGGCCCCGTGCGTGCGTGCTAAGTTGCTTCAGTCCTGTCCCAACTCTTTGCGACCCCACGGACTGTAGCCCACCAGGCTCCTCTGTCCGTGGAATTTTTCCCGGCAAGAATTCTGGAGTGGGTTGCCATTTCCATTCTCCAGGGGATCTTCCCGACTCAGGGATTGAACCTGGGTCTCGTGCGTTGCGGGCAGATTCCTTACCATCTGAGTCCCCAGGGAGGCACCTAGAACAGTGCATGACGCATCACAGGCTCTCAATAAATATTTATCGGGCGAATTAACTCATCCCGTCACTTCTCCCTTCCTTCACTCGACGTGTGTTTCTGGAGTGCCTACTCAGTGCCAGGCCCCAGGCCAGGTTCTTGGACTCCAGCTGTGATGCATGTGCAGTCCTGGCCTCAGGATTCAGTCATGATTCAACAGTTGGAGGAAGGGAACTCGGTACTTTCAGAAACATCCTATCAACTCATCTTATCAGAAAGCTTGAGAGGCAGGTGTTGTTCATACACACAGAAGAGGGAGCGAGGAGGTAAGGAAGCCGGGACCCCCAGAGCTCCCCCGGCCAGAAGCTGGGGCACGTGGGCAGGTGGGCCCGGCCTGCCCGCTCCCTGGGCCCCGTCCCTCCCCTGTCGGCGGGGGCACCTTGCTCTGCCGCTTCCTGTCTCGGTAGTGTTTGCCCACGTCTTCCATCTCCTCTAGCGTCATGGGCCGTGCCTCCATCTCCGTGTCGACCGCGGGCACCGTCAGCAGGTCCATCTTGGGAGCCTCTGGGGATACATTCGCCTTCTGCTTCGGGGCGGAGCTGCCGTCCCTGGACGATCTGGGATCTAGGGGCGGAGGGAAGAGGCGGAGGAAGGGGGAGCTGAGAGGGTGCCCGGCCACGGAGCCCATCAGGCAGTGACCAGCGTCACCGAGCGGGTACCTAGAAGGCGCCCCTTCCTCCGGCGCCTCTGTGGCCTCCTCCTCCCTCTCCCGAACCCGGCCCAGCCTTCCTGGCGCCACTCCCACCCTCTAGCATCCTGCTTTTCCAGGCCTGCTTCAGGCCTCTGCGGCCTGGGGCAGAAATGAGATCGTGGCCCTGCCGCCTTCTAGATCTCAGGCTGTGGCCAGGCGGTCAGCCTCTCTGAGCATCAGCTTCCCCCCTGCATGGGGAGCGGCGGAGGCGGATACGTACTCTCTGTCGCTGTGGTCAGGGTGCTTTGCTGCTGAGCCAAAGACCACTGCTTGTAGGTGCTGGCCAGGTTATCCATCGTGATGCTGTTGTGCTTCCCCAGAGAGCTGAGGTAGATCACAATGTCCTCCACCTCCTGGCTTTTCAGAGGGACTCTAATCTGAGGAGACAAGAGAAGCCCCCAAGCGGGCAGCCTCGCTCCAGACGTCCTGCTGGGATGGCCAAGGCCTTGCCAGCCTGGCCCCGCCTCCCCGTCGAGTTTCATCCTCAGCCGCCCCCAGCTCACATCCAGGGTCCCTGCGAAGGAACTCAGAGCCTCTCCCCGGGGCCCTGCACATTTCTCACCCTCTGCCTTTACTCAGGCGATTCCCACTTTCTGCCTGAACAGCTCCCATCCCTCCTTCCAAACCCCGGTCCAGACGTGTCCCCATCTTTGCAGAGGCCGTTACTTCTCCCTCTGGCCTCCCTGCCCACTCCATTCCAATCTCAGCCTTCCTGTGCCGGACTGGAAGGAGGATCTCACATCTGTCATCCTGGTCCGTGAGGGACACAGAGGCCTCCCTTAACTGAAGTAAAATAGAGTAGGAAATCTGATGCCTGGGACTCTTTTAAGGGTGATGGGCAACTTTGGAGAAATACAATACTTGCCAGCAATACTGAATATTCAAGAAAAAACAGTGTGAAAGGAAATGTATCTTTGCCAGCTTCTTTACATGCTGAGCTTTACTTAAAGATGATCAGAACTCACCTGGTGCTAAAGGATTTAGTGTTTGATCTTTTTGATGACGTTGATTAAGGACCCTTTATTTTTTGTTTAAAATGCTTTGAAATGTTAAGATAACTACATGGCATAAAATGAAAGTGTAAATCTGCTGGTGATTTAAGACTGAAAAAAGTGTAGTATTCCCTTTCTTTCCTAAAGTTTTTTTAAAGGTATCATGTATTCAAAATATATAAAAGCTTAAGTCACCCAGACCAGGAGTCAGCAAACTTTTTCTAGAAAGGGCCAGATGGTAAGTATTTTAGGCTCTGAGCCATGTGGGTCTCTGTCATCACTACTCAACTCTGCCCTCCTGGCATGAGAGCAGCCATGATGACGCATAGACAAATGTGTATGGCTGTGTTCCAATAAAACTTTATTGACAAAAAAACAGGAGACCACTTGGATCGACTTCTGGGGCATAGTTAGCAGAGCTCTGCTAGAACAACAGGATTTTATGTGATGATGGGAAGGTGCTGTGTCTGGGGGGTCCAGCAGCAGAGCAACTGCTGAGCACTCCAACTGTGGCCATTGTGCCTGAGGAACTGGAGTTCTGGTTTTATTTATTTACAATTAAACTGAATTTTTAAATAACCTGTCAAGGTGTGGTCCAAGGACCCACACCGTGGACACTGCTGGGAGCTTGTTAGCATGCAGACTCCTGAGGGGGCTACCCTGGTGGTCCAGCGGTTAGGACTCCCTGCTTCCACTGCTGGAGGCCCAGGTTTGATCCTCGGTCAGGGAACTAAAATCCCATAAGCTGCGTGGTGCCTCTCCCCATCAAAAAAAAAGAAGGCAATATCTTGGGACCCCCACACAGAGGTACTGGGACAGAAGCTGCATTTAACAATACCCCTATGTGAGTCACATGCCAGTGATGGTTCCAGAAGTTCTAGAAGGTTCTAAAGGCAGGACTGAAGATCCAGCTGTCTCTGTGCTCAGTTCTGGGGTCTCACTGGCAAGACAGTGATTCCCTAAGCAGCAGGCTGGTTACAAGGCTGGCTCTACAGACTTCCCACTCAGGTAGGGCCTTTCAAGGTCAGACTGGGGCAAGGTGGCCTTAGGGGTCTGATGGGGGCCTCAGGTTAAGCCACATATTCCAATCTGGCTTTACATGTAATATGGGGGAGAGTCAGAGCAGGACTGGGGATAGCATAGTGGGGCCGTGGAGGTACATGGGCACCCCCACCCCACCTCAAGCCAGCAGGGGTGGGGGAGGCGCTTACCGTCTTGAGAACCACGATGAACTCCTCCCTGGAGATCTGGTGCTCGCCCCGGTCCACCTTGCGGAACAGCTCCAGGATCTTCATCTTGTGGCAGTGCAGGTGGGAGAACAAGGTCGACAGGGCAGGGGGTCTGGGCAGTTGGAGCTGCGGCACCTGCCGGCGGGAGGGTCGCTGGCTTTTCTTCTGAAAGAGGCAAGAGAAGGGGGCAGAGGGGAGCATTCAGGAGACACCACAGAGCTGGGTCCCCAGATTTAGAAACAGGAAAGACAGAGGCCGAGCCAAGCCACCCAGACAGCAGGGTGGAAGGCAAAGGGCGCAGGCTTCCGTCAGGCGCGTCCTGCCACAGGAGGCCTGGGCCGCTTGGCTTCTCTGAGCCTCCAAGTTCACATCAGGCACAAGAGGTTTGGACAAAATGAGAACTAGAACTTCATGCTTATCCCCATCTCTCCTGTCAGACCAGTCACTATTATAATCCCACTGGGCCCTCAGTGCATCAAAATATGAGCCCCTGCCTGAAGCCACCTGGAGCCTCTGCTTCCCCCACTTCCCAGCCTCTGGCCCCCCCGGGGCCTCCCGCCTGGAATACCTCTCCCTTTTCTGTCAGAATCCTACTGCTCCTCCCTTTCCAGGTAAACGGGAATACAGTCAGCCCTCCATGTCCATGGACTCCACATCCATGGATTTAAAAACTCCAGAAAGTTCCAAAAAGTAAAGCTTGAATTTGTCATGGCTGTCAACAGTTTATGTCATACTTAACATGATATTTATAACTATTCACATGACCTTTACATTATATTAGGTACTCTAAGTCATCTAGAGATGATTCAAATGTAAGGGAGGATGCTTGTGAGTTATATGCAAATACTCTGCCCTTTTATATGAGGGTCTCGAGCATCTTCAGATGGTGTTATCTGTGGGATACCCCCCAACAGATAGCAGGGTCAACTACTTAGGAATACTGTTCCTTTAGTGTAGTGGAGCCCTTGACAGTTTACAAAAGGCCTTTTTGTTCCCTAGCTTACAGCTCCTCAGCAGCCTGGAGTCTATTAGTGGCCTGGAGTCAACTGCAGAGGCATTAATCTCTTGTGTCTGCCTCCCCCACTAACGTGAACACCCTGGGAGCAAGACCACGTCTTACTCAGCTACATTCCCCACCTCCTATGCTTGTAATGAACAAAGGCCCCAGCCCTGTGCAAGCAGGCAGTAATGGTTTGCTGAATGGAAAAGAAGGATGCCATGAATTCGATATTAGGTGTTAGCTTTCCTTTTTACAAATGAAGAAACAGGCTCAGAGAGGTGAAGTGACTTGCCCAGGGTCACACAGCAAGCAAGCAGTGGATTTCTAACCCAAGTCCTGTGCTTATACCTAGAGGCTGGGCTGCTGGCAGGAAAGGGTATGTGAGAACCACGAAAGCTGGGTTTTGACTATGATTATACCAAAGACCGACTCTGAAGTTTGGGGGCTAACCCAAATGAAACCAGTAATTCTGCAATAATAATAAAAATGACAAACATTGAACGAGGGCTCACTATACGCTCAGCATGTCTCAGGCACCCTATACATAATCCATTTGGATTTTGCAGCAACCATGGGAAGCAGGCACAATGGTTCTCCCCATTTAACAGTTGAGGAAACTGAGGCCCAGATCATATGGCTAGGAAGTAGCAGAGCTGGGTTTAAACCCAAGTTATCTGACCTCTTATGCCAGCTTTACCTGAACTGGGAGAATTTTCAGGTGTCTGTGTTGGATGCATTTGGAAGATGAGGGCTCTGACTACTGACTGCCAGTTACTATCCCTATGAGCTTGGACAATGTATGGCCTCACTGAGCTTCTGTCTTCATATTTATAGAGGGAACAATATGTATAATATACACAGATTCATATACAAATGTTGTAAAATGTTTTCTTAGAAAGGAAAAGATTTATAAGATTTCCTTCCAGTCTCACAACTGTGATCCTCACAATAGCCCTGTGAACACATGGCGGGTGTGTGTGTGTGTACGTGTGTGTGTGTGTGCTCAGTTGCATCTGACTCTTTGTGACCCCACAGACTGCAGCCCGTGGGCTCCTCTGTCCATGGGATTCTCCAGGCACAAATATAGGAGTGGGGTGCCCTTCCCTTCTCCAGGGCATCTTCCTGACTCAGGGATGGAACCCGGGTCTCCTGCATTGCAGGCGGATTCTTTACTGCCTGACCCAATAGGGAAGCCCAACAAGAGATCACAAGTACCCCCCTTTTTCAGGACTTCTGTCCCAGGACTCCCCTGGACTGGGAGTGGGGATGGTAGGGGTTAGGGTGAGAGATCCCCACCCTTCCTAATCTGAGGGAATGAGTGACAGCAAGGCCCTAACACCCAAAGTGTCTGCGCCTGGCAAACGGGGCTGCTCACCGCGGTGTCCCTGCTCATGACCAGCTGGCTTGGCAGCCGAGCCACGTGCCGAACCTTGTGGATATCACGTAGGACCTTAGCCTCGGACAGCGTGAGGCTGGCCTTGTTCTGCAGCCACCTCTCGACGTTGCCGAAGGATTCCAGGTCTTCCCGCATCTTCAGCCTCTTTCTGAGCCACGCCCTCGGGTCCTCCAGCTGTTCTTGGATGTCGACTTCCGGGGCCTTGGGGCTGGGGGTGGGCTCCGTGGGAGTCTGGGGTTGGGGCGTTGGGCGGACGGGCCTCGGAGCCTCCTTCTGCGGCAGGATGATGACCCGCCGGCGGCTCCTGGGCAGCTGGAAGTCCTCCTGCTTGAACTGCTTGAAGCAGTGGGCGATGACCGCTTCAGGGTTGAACACCGGCTCCTTGCTGGCATTTTCATCGTCAGACAAGGACTTAGACTGGTAGAACCCTTGGAGGAAGAGGGTTAGAAGGTGAGTTCCTATCAGGACGAGGACCAAAGGAGTCAGGAAGGAGAAATGCTTCAGCGCCGGGCTGTGTGTCAGGGAGCCTGGCTTCCAGGCCTGACTTCCAGGCCTGACTTAATTGTTGCCTTGCGATGATGGTGAAAATACTTAGATCTAGCGCGACTGGGCACTCTCCGCGGCAGGCACTGTGCTAAGGGATTTCTGTGCTTTCTCATGGAACCCGTCTTAGGTTCTAATCTTACTCCACCTGACTCTGCCTGTACCTTACTCGTTGGCCATCAGAATGACCTTTTTTAAATGCCATTCTGATGGTCTGAACATTAGAGGCAGCCTAGTGCTGGGAAGAGCCGAGGCTTTGCAGCCAGAGTGCTCTGGCCTGAGTCCTAGCCCAGCTGCTTATGGGCAGCATGACCTCTTATTCTTTCTGGGTCTCACTCTCTTCATCTGTAAAATGTGATAATAATGGTACCTGCCTTACTGTGTGGTAGAGATGCTTACAATCCAGTTTATTCATAATGCTCAAGCATGCTCAGTCATGTCCAACTCTTTGTGACCCCCCGGCCCTCCATGGACTGTCGTCTGCAAGGCTCCTCTGTCCATGGGGTTTCCCAGGCGAAAATACTGGAGCGGGTTGCTACTTGCTCCTCCATGGGATCTTCCTGATCCAGGGATCGAACTCAAGCCTCCTACACTAGCGAGTAAATTATTTGCCGCTGAGCCACCAGGGGAGCCCTTGGTTGATGGTTATCTTTTCCAGTACACTGTGAACCAGGGTCTCATCTCTCTTGTTCCCTGCTGGAGTCCCAGCGCCTCCACGGTGCCAACATACACTGGGAACTCGGCAGATATCTGGCGGTTGTTGCTCAGTTGCTCAGGAGTGTCCAACTCTTTGTGACCCCATGGACTGCAGCACGCCAGGCTTCCCTGTCCTTCACCATCTTCCGGAGCTTGCTCAAACTCATGTCCATTGAGTCAGTGATGCCATCCAACCATCTCATCCTCTGTGTCCCCTTCTCCTCTTGCCTTCAGTCTTTCCCAGTATCAGGGTCTTTTTCAGTGAGTCAGCTCTTCACATCAGGTGGCCAAATTATTGGAGCTTCAGCCTCAGCATCAGTCCCTCCAATGGATATTTGGGGTTCATTTCCTTTAGGACTTCCTTGTGGCTCAGATGGTAAAGTGTCTGCCTGCAATGTGGGAGACTCAGGTTCGATTCCTGGGTTGGGAAGATCCCCTGGAGAAGGAAATGACAACCCACTTCAATACCCTTGCCTGGAAAATCCCATGGACGGAGGAGCCTGGTAGGCAACAGTCCATGGGGTCACAGTCGGACACCACTGAACGACTGCACTTTCCTTTCCTTTAGGATAGGCTGGTTTGATCTCCCTGCAATCCAAGGGACTCTCAAGAGTCTTCTCCAATGCCACAGGTCAAAAGCACCAATTCTTCAGTGCTAAGCCTTCTTTATGGTCTAGCTCTCATATCCATATGACTACTGGAAAAACCATAGCTTTGACTAGACAGACCTTTGTTGGCAAAGTAACATCTCTGCTTTTTAATATGCTGTCTAGGTTAGTCATAACTTTTCTTCCAAGGAGCAAGCATCTTTTAATTTCATGGCTGTACTCGCCATCTGCAGTGATTTTGGAGCCCCCCAAAATAAAGTCAGCCACTGTTTCCACTGTTTCCCTATCTATTTGCCATGAAGTGATGGGACCAGATGCCATGATCTCAGTTTTGAATGTTGAGTTTTAAACCAGCTTTTTCACTCTCCTCTTTCACCTTCATCAGAAGGCCCTTTAGTTCCTCTTCACTTGCTAAGTGAGTGAATTATAAGCGGATGGACCTAAGAAGTTGGCACCATGATTATACCCATTTCATAGATTAAGACACTGTGCTCAGAGAGGCCAGAGGACACACAGTTGATTAGCAGCAGAGGTGGGACATGAACTTTGGCTTTCCTGGCCCCAGAGCTCAGCTCTTAGCCATTTCTTGATATTACTCCAGGCTGTGACCTAATCCCACTGAGTCTCATTTCTTTAACTAAATTGACAAAAACTCTGCTCTAGCAACCTTCCAAAACTGTTACGAAGAGCAAATGAATAACAGGTGTGGGAATGTTCTAAAATTCAGAAGGAACAGAGCATTATTATGAAAAAAATCTTTAAAAAACTCTTGTCACCTACTACATCATTTTCCTGCTAGAATGAAAACTCTCCTGCTTAAAACTTTTCTGTTACTCCCAGCTGCCTCCAGGATAAAGTTCAATCTCCTTAACATGGCCCCACCTGTCGCACCCGCCCCTGCCAACCCCCGCCCAATCTCTCCAGTGCTTCCTCCTCTTCCCTGCTTCCTCACCTTGTATTGGTTCCCAAGCTAACCTGACTGTGGTTCCAAGGTACCCCCTTCTGCCCCTGCCCCCCTTTCTGTCTTTGGAATGCACTTCCCTCTCTCCTGCTCACTTGGTCACTCCCTACTTGGCCTCAGAGGCTCAGCTCAGGCATCACCTGTCCCCAGAAGCATCCCAACCCCTCCCTCCTGCCCCTCTGGGTCCCAGAGCCCCCAAGCTTAGCCCCCTCATAGCATTTACCATATTTTTCTTGATGCCGATACTTTTCCCCAACAGCCTGTGAGTCTCCCAACGGTAAGAACTGTGTCTTACTTCCTGTGAATCCCCGGTACCCAGCCTGGCACAAAGTGAACAGTCAGTACAGTTGTTAAGTCTCTTTACGATGCACATGTGTTCCTTTCATAGTCAGAAAATAATTAGACTATGTATACATTAATGTGGACAGAAGTAAGCACTTCTCAACAACCCATGTATTATTTCTTTGACAACAAGATGCTGGGTTCGACTGAGAATGTAGTCATTCATCCAACCAGCATTTATTGAGAACTGCCCAATGCTTTTTACAAATCTCTCCCTGAATTTCATCCTACCTCTCTGACTACTTACTCTTGGGCCTCTGTTTCCTATCCACTGCTAAAAAGTCGATGGCTTCCAGGTTTACACTTGGGTGACCTTGTGTTTTTTTTTCAAACAATCTCCTCCACTCTCATTTCTCTGGCCCCCCATATGCAGAGGACTCTCACACCAATATTTATGACTTGGAATTAGCTCTGACTCTACATACAAGTGGAGAAGAAAAATGGCAACCTACTCCAGTATTCTTGCCTGGAGAATCCCATGAACTGAGGAACGTGGTGGGTTTCCATCCATAGGGTCACAGAGTCGGACACGACTGGAGCGATTTAACATTCTACCTACACCTGCCCCCAAAGCACCTCAACTTGTATGGCTGACAAAGATCTCAAACTCAACCAAGACTGAACTTATCTCCACGTCCCTGTCTACTCTTCTGGGAGGTTCCTTATCTCTGTAGAAAGCACCTCCATCTGCCAGTCAACTTGGCTACCAACCTGAGTGTCAACCTTGATCGCTCTTCCCAAGTTCTCTCTCTAATCAGCCCCCAAGTCCCTGAAGTCCTCTCTCGCCTGGCGCCTTTCCCTAGCCTCCCGGGTTCTTTGGCCAGGGTATTTAGGACAGCTTCCCACTCCCAACAGTCCGAGTCTGCCAATTCACTTCTGCATTTGCTGATGCTCCCAATCTGATCCCATTATTCTCATTAGCTTCTCCATCTCCTGGCTCCCAAGATCTCTCAGGATCTCATCCCCTCTGACCCCTCTCACCACTCATCTTCAGCAGCACTTAAACTCTGAGCAGTTTTCTGAAGACATCATGTCTCTGGGCCTCTGTGCATGCTCTTTCCCTGGTCTGGAAGGCCTATCCTCCTCTTCCTGGCTTGGAGGACTCCGTGTAAAGATCTCTTCCAGGACCGTGTAAGCATTCCCTGTCTCCCCCGCCTCCTCTGCCCTTAGCAGATCTCTTACTCCTGGGTGTCCCCTTGGACCCAGTATTCATCCCTTTTTCTGGGCTTATCCATATATCTGTCATTCACCTCTAAAGTTGTGGTGCTGATCAAGGACAGCAGGCTACCGGGCAAAGTTTGAAGACTGGTGTTCTTTTCCATGCCGCTTTTCCACTACTGAATGTACTAAAGTCTGGTGAGGAAGCAGGGACAGTCCAGAGGGCTTGGACACCTTTCCCGGGCACATGGGTTGGGCCTCTGGTTCCAAACCAAGGCGACTCGGCCTGCTTCTCCAGCCCTGGCCCGGAAATCTGAGAAACACGCATGACCTGCCCCCGACTCCCTGGCAACCCCGCACCCAGAGAAGGGACGGCACAATGGGATACCCGTCCACTCGGGGGTTGAGGGCTTCCCGGAGGTGGCGTCGATTCCCGGGAGCTTAGGGTGAGCTTACGGAGCAGCGACCGGAACGCAGCCTCGTACCCTTCATTAGAGTCTTCCATGGTCGCGGCGCGGGGAGCTGGCGCTGGAGAGCGCGTGTAAATGGGTGTGTGTGTGTGTGCTTGCGCGGGAGTGTGGGGTATCTGAAAAGCAGTAATAACCAAGTTTGCAAGAGACCCGGGACCTGCGGAGCTTGAACGCGACTGTTGCCAGGACTACGGACGCCCCGCGTTGATTGGCTGTGCGCCGCCACGTGGCGGGAGGCCCGCCGGGAGGGGACTCGCCGGGCCTGGAGTCCGGGAGAGGCAGCCTGGCTCCAGGCAAGGGTGCTGGGAGGGGCCGGGAGTAAATGGTGCAGAGCCTCTGGCTCCGCCAACGAACAAACAGAAACCCCATTGGGTTTCTTAGATTGGCCCGGTGGCCCCTCAATCTGGAGTAATAAATCAATCCCTGGTTTCCCCCTAAACCGTAGGGACTCCAGCAGGTCTCCACCTGCGTAGAACACGCCCTCCCTCCTCCGGACAGACCCCTAGTGAATCCTGGACAATAGAGGCAGTGTTTTCGCTATGCTCGGTCCCCGAGACACACAGTGCTGTTGCAGGAAGGGGGACCCCTTCCAGGGTCTGAAACTGGGCTCTTGTCTAACACTCGGAAATGAATTGTCGGAGACACATGTGCTGACAAAGCAAGAGGTTTTATTGGGAAAGGGCGCCCTGGCGGAGAGCAGGAGGGTAAGGGAACCCAGGAGAACTGCTCTGTCATATGGCTGGCAGTCTCAGGTTTTATGGTGATGGGATTAGTTTCCGGGTTGTCTTCAGCCAACCATTCTGACTCAGAGTCCCTCCTGTGGCGCACGCCTTGTTCAGCCAAGATGGATGCCAGAGAGGATTCTGGGAGGTGGTCGGACAGGTGGTGTCTCCTTTTGACCTTTCCCGAACTCTTCTGGTTGGTGGAGGCTTATTAGTACCCTGCTCCTTACCAGGACCTCGTGTGGTAAAACAACTCATGCAGATGGTTACTACGGTGCCTGGCCAGGGTGGGCGGTTTCAGTCAGCGTGCTTCCGGTAACGGTGCCATGCTTTGGAATAATAGAACCTGAGAAACATTGGGTTGGCCAAAAGGTCGCTCGGGTTTTTCCATAGGATCTGAGGGAGAAACCCGAAGGAACTTTCTGGCCAACCCAAAATTGGACCTGTCCATTGGATAGGCAAAAGGTGGTCTTGTTCAAACAATGGAATATATATTAGTCATTAAAAAGGAAGTACTGACACATGCTTCTCTGACAGGCTGGCACTTGGGACCCTTGGCTGCAGTGCTTATACCAGGACAAATGTCTCCTTGAGCAACTAAAAATGTAAAGAACCTATACAAGGGACTGAAATGAACAGGTAAGGGTTTCCTTGCTGAGGAGATGAAAATATCCTGGACTTAGTGACGACAGTTGCACACTGTGAATGTACTAAAAACCATTGAATTGTGCCCTTTAAAAATGGTTAAATTTTGGGGGGCAAATTTGTTTTAATAAAAAGTTAGAAAAAACCCAAACACTTGAGGGCTTACTCTGTATAAGATACCATCCTTACTGAAATGCATTATTATTTTTTTTTTAACTATCTTATTTGGCTGTGCTGGAACTTCACTGAGGCATGTGGAATCTAGTGACCTGACCAGGAATCGAACCTGGGCCCCCTGCAGTGGGAGGGTGGAGTCTTAGCTGCTGGACTGACAGGGAAGTCCCTAAAATGCATGTTTTGTGACCCTCTCAACAATCTGGGGTCTTCACTCAGACCATCCCTTTGGGCCACATTGATGCAGTGCTTCTATAAGCCAGACGCCAGGTAAACTATTTCATATATTGACTTAATAATCATAACTGACCCATTCTCAAAAGATGAGGCAACGGGTAGAGACCAGGTCATCTGCAGGAAAAGGGAAAAGGCAGGGCTTGCTATAGCCTGAGCTCCTGATGCGGAGCTTCCCTGCAAAGTCCACAGGCCCACAGTCCTGATGGAGGTGCTGGGATGGGGCCTGGGCCCCGCCACCCCTGAACCCCAAGTTTGGTGCCTGCCCTACCCTCCGACCTCAGCTGTGGGCAGGGTTGCAGGGACCCTCTAGACTTTTCACTGCAGTGTTGGGTGCCTTGTCCCCACACCTTACCCCTTCTGTTCTTTTCATTATTGTTTATACCTTTCTCTCTCCTGAGGGTCCCCACATAGGCTTTTCATCTTTATGTCCCTACCCAGCACAGACCTTGGCACCTAGTGACTGCTACTCTGGTGTCTGTTACATAAAAATGTGATGGGAGGTTATGCAGTGGATGCTTGCCTTGCGGGGTGTGTGTGGCCAGGTTTCCCGCTCTGTTCAAAACCCATCGTTCTCTAAAAAATGGCACTCATTCACTGAAGTGGAAACAACCAGTGCTCTGGAGCGCAGTGTTTCCTTGTTCTGTGCACACTCTACCCTACAACAAAAGCAGTTTTCCCAACAATTTATTTTTCATTTATTCAATCAGCTTAACTTGCAAATTATGCCTTTGAAAGGTTGTTGCTGAACCATGTAAAACGCCGGGATTCTTGGCCTCCATAGAAGAATTCAATCCGGGCCAGTGACAAGGCTTGATCGCTCAGAGCTTTTGTGTAATAAAGGTTTATTAAAGTATAAAAGAGACAGAGAAAGCTTCTGACATAGACATCGGAAGGGGGCAGAAAGAGTGCCCCCTGCTAGTCTTTAGCCGGATATTATATACCTACTAGCAGTCTGCTCATTAGAGAAAGGAAATGTCTCAAACTTAGAGAGTGGCACCAGGCCCCTCACCCACAACATGAATTTTGAGATAACACTGGCACCAGGTGAGTCCTCTCGGGCCATAAAACCATTGACATGAATCTTGAATAAAGGCAGATTTCCAAGCAAATATACAGTTTCATTAACATAGATTAGGAGAACAATGTATGAGTAAAACATGCTGGTTTGTCAAGTCAGTTCTGAGCCTTTAGGTGGAACTGACTTGAAGACAGAGTCTAGGGTAAATACATTAACATAGCTTAAGACAAATATTTCCATAAGAAAAATGCATTGGTTAGCTCAAGGTTTGGCCTTTAGGTGGAACTGACTTGAAGACAGTCTAGGGTAAATACATAGTACATTAACATAGCTTAAGACAAATATTTCCATAAGAAAAATGCATTGGTTAGCTCAAGGTTTGAGAAAAGTTCAGTTCAGGTGGAACCAGGTGTCATTATGGCAACACAGAATTTTAAGGGAAACCTTTTTAAATTTGGGTAGAGAAGTGGAAAAAATCTTAACCCTTGTAATTTGTTTCCTCCTGCCCCTTGAGAGAGAGAGAAAAAAATGCCTGACACTTGCAGGCTGTTCCCCCTGGCCTCCCTGCCTGTTACCCTCTCACCTTAAAATGACTGATAATTGAGGCTTGATAACGTAGATTTTCATTTGTTTTGTGAGCTCCTTCTAAAGTAAATGTCTCAGTATTTGGGTCATACCATGATAATACCTGTATTAAGAATGGCGTAACACTAGAAAGGTCCTGTCTTCCGGCTGGAAGGTGAGAGATGGGGAAATGCTCGAGTTTTCACATGGGGATCACAGTGAACGCATGAGTCAGAAACCAAGACTCTGAAACCTAACTGCAGGCAGGCATTCACACTCAGTTATCAAATGGATGCCGGGGTCAGACCTCCAATTCCTAAAAGTCAACAGAGTCCTTGAGACTACAAAATGACAGGGACTTCCCCGGTGGCTGAGACTCTGTGCTCCCCACGAAGGGGGCCTGGGTTCAGTTCCTGGTTGGGGAACTAGATACTGCAACTAAGACCTGGTACAGTCAAAAAAAAAAAAAAAAAGAACAGAAGGAAAGGCTCTATGAAAAACACGCACATTCATGATGACAAAATACTCATTTTCCCTTGGGGGTTAGTGTTTTTTTTTTTTCTTCGATGTGTCTGGAGTCTTGGAAGCTTGAATACACTAATGTTCTCCTATAAACGGACCTTGAGAGCTTGTTTGGAGGTTCCAGCAGGTGGGTGCAGGTACTCATATATCCTTGATCAAAGAACGGTCCTCAATTGGGGAAGGTTGTCCTCTTCAGCAGAACGTGCAGCTCGCCTAGCCAACCAACCAGTCAAATCAACCCCGGCAGTCAATGGGGTGACAGATGACACAGCCAGATCACCCTCACAGAAGGTGTTTTTTAATAAAAATATTTTTATTAATTGGGCTTCCCTAGTAGTGGCTCAGTGGTAAAGAATCCACCCACTGATGCAGGAGATGCAGGTTCACGCCCTGGGTCAGGAAGATGCCCTAGAGGAGGAAATGGCAACCCGCTGCAGTATTCCTGCCTGGAGAGTCCCCATGGACAGAGGCGCCTGGTGATTACAATCGACAGGGCTGCACAGAGTTGGACACAACTTGGCGACTGAACAGCAATGCTATCATTCTCTACAGGAAGAGAGCAGAGAGTCTAATCTTCCCTCAAGCAAGGCTGATCGAAATTTGCATTATATTGTTGATAACTAAGAAGAGTTTTTTTCCAACTTCAAATCACATTTCATTATTAGAAAGTCATATACATTTACATTTTTAGGATTGTTGTCAAATAACAATTTATTTTTTCTTAAAAAAAAAAAAAGCAGCTCTTAAAACATGTTCCAGCACATTCAGTAGCAAAGATCTACCAGTGGTACACATATTAAGAAAACACACAGTAGGTTGGTAGTAGTTGGGCTGATTAAAATCTATATGCCTGGAAAGGTGGTTGTGCTTAATGTAGCTCTGAAGAATCAAAGTACAAAGCAATATATAAAAAAACAAGTCTGAAAACTTCAGAGACTTTTTAAGATAGACTTAATTTCTCGTGATTTTCCCAAAGCCAGTCATGATATTTATTTAACTTATGGTCTTCAGGGTGTACCTGGAAGAAATACAACACAGGAGACAGATGCCTTATGTAAGTTTGTCAGAAATGCATTTATAAAATTGGCTTTTTAAAGATATAGTGGTGGTGGTGGGGGTGTGTTTTCCCTGGTGGCGCAGCGGATAAGAATCCACCTGCCAATGAAGGGGACATAGGTTTGATCCCTGGTCTGGGAAGATCCCCCATGCAGAGCAACCAAACCCACACACAACGACTGAAGTCCACGCAGCCTAGAGCCTGTGCTCTATAACAAGAGAAGTCGGTGTAATGAGAAGCCCGTACACCGCAATGAAGGCTAGCACCCGTTCATTGCAACCAGAGAAAGACCACACAAGGCAGTGAAGACCCAGTGCAGCCAAAAATAAATAAGTAAAATAAATAAAAATTATTAAAAAAAAAGATACCATGGGGGAACACCATATGATGATATACCTGAAAAATTATAATAATCTGTAACCTAACAGGATTCACAAATGTTTAGAATTCTTTTTTTTTTTTTTTAGAATTCTATCCTACATCAAAGGAATCATTCACAGTTTACAAGATACTTTCCAGTTTGGAAATGATCTTCCCCAGGACTCAGTGTGTGAGGTGGTGATGACGTGAGTCAAACACTAATAGGCTATTTTTCCAGAAGGAGGTTATAGACCCTGAGAGTTTTAAATGACCTGCTCAGGTCACAACAAACAGCAAAGCTGGGCTGGGCTTGGCCAGACCGAGCAGCTAAACACTTCAGGGCAAGTCACAGACTGAGGGGGCAGTGGGCCAGGCTCTGAGGCAGTGCCTACCGGCGGCCAGGATGCCTCCCGGATGCCTGCAGGCCGGGTGTGCGCGACAGAATGGGCGGCTGACGAAGGACCCATCGTCCATACAAACTGAGACCACCTAATCCACACCTGTCTGCTGTCTTTCAGGGGTGGGCTTGTGACGGCGAGTACGACCGTGACATGAGGAAAACGACATCGGGCCTGGAGACGGTACGTGAATGGGAAAGACAGGAACAGGCCCAGAAGAGGCACACCAATGCGGGTCACCCAGAGGCCAGGGAGTCTTCATGAACTCGGGAAAACCTCTAGACCCTCTCCTGCTGTCAATAAACCCCAAGCCACCACTACCCCTCCAGCTTGGAGTGAAATGGGTTGTGACCGTAATAGCGAGTTATAAGAAATAGTCTGAACCACCATGGTGGACTTATTTTGCCCCAGAGACAAGGTGTGCTGGAGCTGGGCCTTACCTGCTTCCATTCATTGACGCAAAAAATTCGGTAGGAGTCATTGCCGTATTTGCCAATCCCGTGAAGCTCGATCGGGTACCTCCACTGCTTTGTCAGATATTCATCTGAGAACACAACACCCCACACATCAGGTCAGCCTCTAGAAAAATCCTTTCCCTAAAAAGGAGAAAGGGACGGGAAAGCATGTCTCCTAGTAGCCTCAGTGGTGACTGCTTCCTTCTGAATTCCTGCAGTGCCAAGCCCTGTCGGCTCTGCTCGTCTACCATGAACTCATCTCTATTGTTTGGAGCTGGGTTAACTGGACAGAGGGAACATCCCGAAGTCAGCTGGGCTTTCTGCTTCACTGCCTTCTTCCTCTAATCTCGCTCACATGGCCTGACCCAGCGGTGGGCAAAGATTTATCTCCTGGGTCAGTGGGAGACCATGGTTTGGGGCAAGCGAACAATTTTCAAATGCCTTCGGAGCTTGGGAGGAAAGATCTCTATTAATGTCGCAACTGAAGACATTGAAATTTAAGGTACGGCCCTCTCTTAAATAGGCACATTTTTATGTTTTCTCCTTTGGGTGTATGGGTAAAGTTACCGGAGAACTTGATAATGGTTTTCGCTCGATGATCGTAGAGACCAAGAGGTTTAAGAAGTTCTGAAACATCTCTCCAGTCTGCGGTCCTCGCTGCCTCAGCAGAAGGGTACTTCTCCAGAAACTGCCAGAGCACAGGGATGGCCATTTTGCCTGGGAAGTAAAAATAAGGATGCGATTACATGCCTCCGGATGGGTTGATTTTTGGTGCAGGTGCTTCCTTATCTATAGATCTCACATCAAAGTGAAGTGAAAAGTGTCTCTTGCATCTCCATTGAGTCACCCGGGAAACCAATGTCTTTTAATTGGTGGTTTAACAAGAAAGAAAGAATGAAAACAAAAGACACTCTCTATGTGAAATGTGCCTGGGTGGCGCCGATGGTAGAGAATCTGCCTGCAATGTGGGAGACCTGGGTTCAACCCCTGGTCGGGAAGATCCCCTGGAGAAGCGAATCACTCCAGTATTCTTGCCTGGAGAATCCCACGGGCAGAGGAGCCTGGCACGCTACTGTTTATGGAGTTGCGAAGAGTCGGACACGACTGAGCAATCAAGCATGAACGAGAAGACATTACCTAAATCAACAGCAACCACTTTCAAGGTCGATACCTAACATCATTAACCTATTTGGTTAGTTGACCAGATTATGCTGAAACCTGGCCTTGCACGATGTCGGTGTTTAAATAATCAGATCATCAGATAACTAGTGTAAAAGCACATCTAACACAAACATGCCACTGACATTAAAGAAAGCATCCAATGAAAAAGAAGTGCATTTATACATGACAGAGAGATGAGGAATCTTAAGTAACTGACTTTCACTGATGACCAAAAATAATTTGGAAGCAGAAAATAAATGACAATTTGCTCCTTAATGCAAAAAAATGCTGGTAATAGAGACACAGACATAGTACTGGAAAGCAATTATCTTTCAATTAAAAATAAATTTAATTATTAAAAAAAACAAAAAAAGCTGCTGGAGGTTATCTAGTCTAACTTTCTCATAGGTGAAAAATTTGAGGATTAAAAGGAGGCCTCACCTGAGGTAAAAGTCAAACCTGAGGCCAGGCTGCCTAACCAATTCTCCTCAACACACAGTCTCTACTAAAGACAAAGATGAAAAGAATCCACAAACCTGTGGTTCGATTGAGAAATATAGTTGCAATGAGGAGCTTCCATGGATCATGAAAAAGAGTTTCCTGGACGAGATTAAAAGGTGACCGCGGAGGTGTCCACTTCTTAAAGGCCTTGCGTCGTGGGGGGCTAAGAGCTAAACAAACACACGGTATCAGAGCTGAGCACCTGAAACAGATTTAAAGTCTGGCTTTCTGACGGGAAAAGGGATACCTTCTTTATTGTATTTGCTGGAAAAATACAGGCTTGTTTTCCTTTTTTCTATTTGTGTCCGTGGGACGGTGTCTTCTGAAAAGGAAGAGTGAACACTGTTTACAGAATCTATGGTTCAGTCTACAGAAATACTCAGGACTGCAAATAACAATATACTACTACTAAAAAGCGTTTAGAATGTCCCAGGTGCTATTGAAGAGCTTCACAAAAATTAACCAACTTGATCCTACTAATGACCTAGGAGCTAGGCAGGTACGATTTTACCTCCACTTTGAAGATAGGGAAATTGAGGAACAGAGAAGCTAGGTAACTTGCCCAAAGTCACACAGCTAGTAAGTGTCAGAGCTGAAATTCTCCTTTTTTTCTTATTAGCTATACTTCTTTGTTCTATTTAATTAGTGGTTAGAGCTGAAATTCTAATCTAGGCAACCTGGCTCCTGAGTCCATGCCTTTAACCACTCTGTTATACTAGTTCTCTTTGATTTATGTTCAGAGTTTGCTATTTTCAGAAACTGGAAATAATATGGAATATTTTAAATTATGATATTTGTACAATGTGGTCATTAAAATATTTTAAGACTAGATCATGAATTTTTTCCCATGTTATTAATTTTTATGTGAAAAAAGCAATACTCAACACATGATTCCAATTTAGAAAAAAAGAAAAAATATGATACCAAATAGAAGGAAATAAACCAAAATGATATAACGGTTGTTGTTAACTTTTCTTGTAATTTTCTGTATTTTTCAAATATTCTGCAGTGAATACTTTTATCAGGAAAACAACAAAAAAGGATACACATAAAACAGAACCTGCAGAAAAGTCCAAAGATTTGGACCTTACAACACCAGAGGCCACTATCTATTGGGATGTTCAATTTAACAGACTCTTTAACCACCATTATTAGGCTTCTCAAGTTTCTAAAATCATCACATTTAATAATCCCTAGAGCCATACCCTCTAAATTTGCATGTCAGTTAATAATACCTTGTGTTTGTCTAGTGTGAAGCCATCTTTTTCACTTCCCATTTTACTTTACAACATTCATGATGTGAAAAACAGGACTAGTAAGGGTTACTGCTTGTATTTTACAGGTGTAGACTCTTAAGGCTTAGAAATTAAGCAACTATCTCAACAACAGCAAGATTGACTATAGATTGGGATATGCATCCATGTCTCCAGGTAATCAGTCTGGGGGTTTTTGCTATTCTAGTTTGAATAGGCAACTGCTGCTACTGCTAAGTCACTTCAGTAGTGTCTGACTCTGTGCAACACCGTCCCTGGGATTCTCCAGGCAAGAACACTGGAGTGGGTTGCCATTTCCTTCTCCAAGGAAGACAGTCTAGGGTAAATACATAGTACATTAACATAGCNTGGAAGTCGTTCAGTCATGTCTGACTCTTCGAGACCCCATGGACTGCAGCCTACCAGGCTCCTCCGTCCATGGGATTTTCCAGGCAAGAGTACTGGAGTGGGGTGCCATTGCCTTCTCTGTTGAGTAGGCAAAGCCCAGTGGAAAGTAAAAAGAGTTAGAACAACAGAAACTGCTCTTACTACCTACTTGCTAATTTCTTCTGCGGATTCCTATAAGTATATGCTGTCTAAACCTTCTTATTAATAGGAGACTAAGTTCAGTTCACTTGGTAGTTTATAACTAAGACAATGGGAAAGTCTTTACTACTCCGTCAGACACCTAGTATTACCTACAGTAAACGTATCATCTCATGTTAAGAATAGACTTTATGCATGTGATGAATAGAATACTTGCATTTTAGTCACTAAAGGATGTTTTCAATATTTTATTTGCTCATTGTACTAGCAATAAATCTACATAAATTTAAAGACTTTAGGATGCTCAAGGTCTTTAATGGGCAGATTTGAAGAATTTTTATGCAGTTCCTAGGTGTATGTGGTCATCTTCTATTTAAGGCAGAGAAACTCCAGGCAGAGCAAAGACAGAATAAAACCATGAGGGGGACTAAGAGAAGGAACCAAGTCTAACCACCTGCTGTACGGGTCTGTCCCACGCTGTCTTCCCATAGGACTTTAAGTAAAATTACTATTCTTCTTTAAAGGAGTTATTAATTATATCATAATGACATAATGAATAACTAAGAGAGGGCTGCTCAAAGGTCTCCTTTTCATCTCCTATTCACTGAAGTATCATAAAGGCAAAACTGCTAAGCTCTGAACTCTGTATTAAGAGCATATTACAAATAATAGATGAACTATGTGATTAGTTTTGAATTATTTAGAGCTCTAAAGCATTTTAGAGTAGCACTACAACAGAAAATAAAAATGATTGTGATACATGCAAAATTAAACTGGAAGTCACACATCAGTAATAAGTAACAAGAGAAGATACTGGCTAATCTCAAACAGTTTATGTATAAAAGGAGTCTTCCTCAGACCTCACAAGGGAAGCCTTTTCTTCCCTCCAACGCTGTAAGATTACCGGCTGGACAAAAGGGAAGAAGGGACAGCACTGTGGACGAGAGTCCCAGGTGTTGTACTAGGGAGCCACGGTAGCGACTGCGGCACAGCTGCCCTCTGCTGGGGTCATCACGGCGGCAGCCCGCCACTGCTGCTCTGCCACGCCAAGGGGCTTAAACACCGGTTAGAGACAGCACTGGGGCCAGCTGGTGGGGTGTATCTGACAACAGGGCTCAAGAACTTCATTCTGTCCCCACATCCTAACTGGCTACAGGCAGGAAGTGCGAACTCCTCATCGCACATTTAACAGCACTTTAGCGCACTGAATACCTTGAGATACTTTCGCAGACATAGGGTTTTTCTCTGTTTGTGAGCTGTCATCTGTTTCAGAGCTACCTTCTGAAATGTCCCTATGCAAATGCTCCTTCCTCTCTCCAGCTTCTACTTTGCTTCTTATTTTCTCAGATTCTAAAAAGGTGTCCTCACACTTATTGTTGGGTTCTGCTTCTTTGGCCGAACATAATTTGCTTACGATGCCAGAAGGGATCTGTTCAACATTCGGTCCCAAACACGACGATTGTTTTTTACCAAGCCTCTCCTCTTCAGTGGTCACACTGAGGGCCTGGTCGCTGGCT